ACTGCAAGGGTGCGGGTGGAACACGACGTGAAGCGAAAAACCGGTGTTCGACATACAGGCAACAGAACACGCTTGCCAGCACCAAGATATGAAAACAGCAACCCACGGAACACACACATGGCATAACAACGGAACACACACCCACACCCACACCCACACCCACACCCACACCCACACACACCCACACACACCCACACACAACTTACTGTATCCCCATCGCTCCGCATGTGACGGGCTGCTGCTGTTGGAGGTTGGCGTTGTGCTACCAGCAGCGCACACCTCGCCATCAACCATCGCCACGACTGCGACTGCGAGCGTGGCAAACTCGTCCTCTGTGACGGGGAGGTTGTAGCCAAACACCGCTGCCAGCTCAGACGGCTGCAGGCACGGCACCTGTGCAGACATAAAACAAGCGACGCAGGGCGAAATAAAGATGTGTGTGAGTGGAAGACGAGAGATCGATTCAGGTTTTGTCCGTCAGGGAAGAGGGGGGGGGGACACATGCATACACGCATACACGCACACACACACACACACACACACACGCACACGCACATACAACACGCACAACTGCACACAATACACACGTACAAACATAAACTCACGGAAGAGGTGGTTTTTGTGGCGCGGCGACGGCGAGCGTGGGCGTGACCGTCGTGCGAATCTGCAGACGCTGTCATCCAACACAAATCACGCACAAGCAGGTAAGGATCATGAGCCAACGAACAAAAATCGTTAGAGTATGTGGTTGGAGGGGAGGGTGTGGAGCGCTCACCTTCAACCCCATAGACAGAAACACACACACACACACACACACACACACACACACACACACACACACACAGCTCGCGCATGACTGACCTGAGCCTGTGAGACCAAGGTCCGTGTAGAGGACGAGCATCTCATCGGCGTCCATCAGACCGTCCGTGCCGGCAAATGTGGCAAACACGGCTTCGACAAACGCCGTGTGGTTGTGGCGCTTGGGGAGGAAGCAGTGGTCACCCAGCGCCATGGCGACAATGTGTGTGGAGATGAAGGCCACCCGCTCCTGCAGTGTCGATGTGGCTGCGGTTGCGTTCATCACAAGCTCGTCCACAGGCACGCACTCGGCCTCCATGTGCTCCTCGTGGGTGCCTTCGTCTTCATGATCATCTTCGTGGTTGTCTTCGCCCTCATGGTCATCGTGACCATCATCCACGTGATCGTGGACATCACCCTCTTCCTCCTCTGCATGGTCATGTGCATGCCCGTCACTTTCCTTGGAGATGTGCTTGGAGGGCTCGAGCCCAAGCAGCGAGTAGATGGACGTTGTGGCTGCGTTTACAAGCGAGGGCGGAGATAACATGGATATGTACGGTTGTGTGCGCGTGTGTGGTGTGAGTTGGAAACAATTGCAGAAGATTGGGGCACGTGGTAGAAACACATGAAACAGCAGCAGCAACAGCAGCAGCAGCAACAACAACAACAACAACAACAAACAAACAAACAAACAAACAGCAGCAGCAGCAGCGCACCTGAACGGATTTGTTCATCGATCGTGCCCGATTCCGGGGGCGCGTAGGAGAGGAAGGTATCCGTGAGAGAGGAGGAGCAGTTTGTCGTGCTGTTGATGGACGCCAATAGCATGTACGCAGATGCCCTGTCGATGGCGTCGGTGGTCACGCGTGCCACGCCGAGCACGTTCACGATGTCAGTCCCATTCCAACAGGCCGGCGCAAACGCTTCTGGCATGTCTTCTTCGTCATGGTCGTGGTCGTCGTGGTGGTCGCCGTCGGTGATGCCAAGGACGTAATCCTGGCGATCTTCGGCCACTGCATGGATGGTGTTAATGATGGCCTGCAGATCGACATCGGCCAGGTGGGTTTCGTTCATGGAGGGGCAATTGTCGGCGCAGTAGTGGAAGATGACCTCTGCGGAGTGTGCTGCTTCTTCACTGCTGTGCACGCCTGCGACAGCCAGGCTAGCCACAAGCAGGCACGCCAGTAGCCGTGCCGATGACATTGTCATTATTGTGTTTGATGCAGTGCGGCGTGTGAATGTGTTTGTGTGTACGTGTGTCTTCTTCCTGTTGACTTCGAGTGGGTGCTGATGATGATAATGTGTTGGTGCTGATGTTTGGGGCAGTCGTCCTTGTTGGCGGTGTGGTTGGTAAATGGCATGGGCAATGGATGGCTGGTTGCTTGTTGTGTGATTGTGTGTGGCGTTTGCACTCACAAGAAGCAAGCAAGCAACAAGCAACGGCTTTTTGGCGATGTCGCATGCATGCGTGCGCGCGTGCAATTTGCTCCGAAGTGGCATTGTGCGTGCTGAGAGTGGCGTGCAACAGTGTCACATCACGATTCGCGCTCCGGAGTGGTAATTTCGAAAGACACATCATGAAAAGTCGTAGGAATGATGACTGCGCCGACACGCGACAGACAGAAAAATAGCGGATATGAAGCGCGGGCAAGCAAGCAAGCATTTTCCGCCAACCACCACAAACAACACAGAGGCTCAGTCACACACCACACACACACACACACACACACACACACACACACACACACACACACACACACACACACACACACACACACACACACACACACACACACACGTGTTGTCACGCATACACACGACACACGCTCAGCCACCCTCACACGTACACACGAGACACACGCGCAGTCATCATGGTGCGGTCGTCAGAGGCAACGTCGTCGTCCTCAGTGCCGTCGCAACGGCAGCAACAACAGCAACGCCAACGCCAACATCAGCAACATCATCAACAGCGTCACCGGTCGCAACCGCCACCAATGATGGCCATGTCGGGCTTTTCCATGTCGCCGGCTGCACCGTCCTTGCTACCGCCCTCCCCACACCCGCGACCACAGCGTCAATCGCCAGCGCCTGCTTCCTCCTCCTCTGCTTCTTCTTCTGCTGCTTCTGCGTCGGCGACAGGGACGACACCCGGACGCGTGAGAGCGGCAAGTGGGCTGGCCACCCGCGCAGCCTCTGCGTCAGGTACACAGAGCAGCGTGCGGAAGGACGAAGCAGAGGAGTACGACAGCGCCACCTCGGATGAAGACGGTGCGTTGGACGATTTGGATGAGGCAGACCTGCTTCGATCGCAGCCGTCAGCGGCGCGAAATCCTTCGCCGCACACGCCAGCGAGAAGAAGAAGAACAAGATCCCCACCACGGCAGCCACTGTCAAGGGAGGTGGGCTCACCTCGAAAGGAGCAAGGCTCATCTGCAAAGCAGCCCAGGAGGGCGAGGGAGGCACCTCCTTCTCCCCACTCCAAGCATCCTGATCAACAGCTCAAGAAGAAAAAGAAACACCTCGCACAACACAGGCCAGCAGAGCACAAGCGCCCACATCGATTTCAGGTGCCCGCGCGCGCGTGTGTGTGTGTGTGTGTGTGTGTGTGTGTGTGTGTGTGTGTGTGTGTGTGTGTGTGTGTGTGTGTGTGTGTGTGTGTGTGTGTGTGTGTGTGTGGCGAGGTGTGTGTGCAAGGTGTCGTATGGGGCGGGTATGTTTCGTGATGTAGTTTATACTAGCAGTAAGTTTGGAAAACCCGCGAAGCATGGAGCGGTGGGGGATGTCCCCTGTCAAACTTTGTGCCCTCTTGTGTTGTTTTTGTATTTTGTAGCGGTGTGACAACAGTTCGTGACCACGCCCTTTCGGAACACACAGAGAGAAAAAATGGGGGCCAGTGTCGTGCAACGTGGGTAGTAAGAGTGAGCAGGAACCTGATATCGTGGGGAATGGAACTATGAGGTGGTAGATGTTCCTCTA